TATATATACACACACTAAAGCAATGTTATCGATGTAAATAAGAAGCAGCTCTATTTTTTTATATTTTGAATTTCTATAATGCATGGATTAAATTTCATTGTAGATGGTGTTTTATTTCATGTTATTGGTCCTTATCTTTGCTACTTTTAGTCTCTAGTAATTGTTTAATTTTTATATTTAATATCTTAAATAATAAAATTCTATAATAACAATGTATTTTTTCCTTGTCAAATCTGGGGTTTTTTATACCAAAGTAGTGTATTTTAATTTTTTTTTTACCAAAATAGTGTGATTTTAAAAATATTTACCATTTAGGTTAAATTTTAAAATAAAATAAAAAAGAATGCAAATTGAATTATCAGAATAACTTCATTATTTTATACATATATATGTAACAAACTTGTTGAAAATATTCATATATAACTATTGTTAACGGTTGTAACTTGCTACAGCCAGTCATAATAGTTATATGTAAACACATCCAACAAATTATTTATCCTATGTAATATATATATATATATATATATATATATATATATATATATATATATATATATAAAGTTATCCGAACATATAAAAAAAATAAAAGGGTAAATACCTGATATTTATTAAATGAAAATATGATTCATGATTTACGACCGGAAACCCGTATTACCGGTCACCTAAGGATGAGCGGTTGTTCAGTCTTAAATTAGGAGTTGGGACTGCATGTTCCCCTATTCATACGTCCAATCTCTCTCTCTCTCTCTCTCTCTCTCTCTCTCTCTCCAGTTGTGTCAAGTACTTATCTGTGGTTACTGTTTAGGTAAATCAATAATTCGTTGTGCGGCTGTTGTTGATTTCTCCGGTGACTTCCGGCGAAGTAGCTTCACTTATCGTAAAATCACTTAAAATCAAGCTAATTAATATTTGAAACTGTAGTGATGTTGGATCTTAATCTAAGCATTGTTCACGAAGACTTGGTGACGGATTTTCGAGGGGATGTGGAGGAATCAGCCACTTCAAATTCATCGGTAGTGAATGCAGAAGGTTGTAATTCCAGTAATGTCGTTGAGGGCGGCGACGAAGACTCCGTTTCTGCTATCGGCGATGAAGACAGCTTCCATTGCTTCAATTTTGACATCTTAAAGGTTGGGGACACTGGTGCTCTGCTCAGCAACAGTAACGATGAGGATCGAACAAGTCAGACTCAGGCTCAGACCCGGTCCGAGTTCGTGACTCGGTCACTTTTTCCGATGAGTCATGGCGGAGGAAGTTTAAATCAAGGGCAGCAGGTGAACTCCTTGTTGTTATTCCCTAATAATAACGAATTGCAAGAGATGAGATCGATACCAGTACAACAACAGAAGCCGACTATACAACAAAATCAAGTGGGGAAGAAGAGTAGGAGGGGACCTAGGTCTAGAAGCTCACAATACAGAGGAGTTACCTTCTATAGAAGAACTGGTAGATGGGAATCGCATATCTGGTTAGTTCCTGAGTTTGATTTTATCTTTTTTAATTGTTTTTGACATTTCTGTACGTAGCTTTCGTTCTAAATTATTCCTGTACCAATGTGTTTGATGTAGGGATTGCGGGAAACAAGTCTATTTAGGTAATAAGGATTAATTGATTGGCCCCCTAATTCTTTCCCCTTTTAGTAACAAATATTTGCTTGTTCATCTTCAAACATCTGACCAATTTTGATGGATTTTGATATTTGTTTATTTAGGAGGATTTGACACTGCTCATTCTGCAGCTAGGTATACAATCTGATGTTAATTTTCACATCTTCTTTGTAACCTTTTCTCGTTATACTCTTCAAGCTTATCAATGGAGTTTAATTGTTGATTGTTGTGATATCCAGAGCCTACGATCGAGCCGCTATCAAATTTAGGGGTGTTGATGCTGACATAAATTTTAATCTCTGTGATTATGAGGAAGACATGAATCAGGTTTTCATCACAATTGATAATCTAGTCGATTCATTTCAACAATCAACCTCGTTGTGTTTACTTTGTTCTTGTTGTATTATTATAGCAGATCAAGAATCTTTCCAAAGAAGAATTCGTGCACTTACTAAGGCGCCATAGCAATGGGTTTTCAAGGGGAAACTCAAAGTACCGAGGGGTGACCATGAACAAATTTGGAAAAGGGGAGACTTTTTCTGCATCTCATTTCGGTAAATCTCACAGATTTTTTTTTTTTTTTTTTTTCTTTTTTAATAAATTTCAACGAAACTCAACTTTCTGTGTAATATGATGCAGGAAACGATCACAATCTGGATTTAAACTTGGGAATCTCAACTCCTACGAGTCTTGGAAAGACTTCAACTAGGAATGGAAACTTAGATCATATGCAGCTGAATCATCATGGCTTACATGACATTAGGAGATTACAGGTAATAATTTCATTCCACAAAACAAAGCAAATTGTTTTCCATTCCGCAACGGAATGCACAATATCATCATAAAAGAACACTAACTTTCATATAACAGACAGATAACGGAGCTACAACGACACATAAAGGTCTACCAGTGATTTCTGAGCATCGTCCACCATGGTCAGCCATGCATCCTACCTTCTTACCCAACCACGAGGTTAATTAATTAGCTTTGATGTAAATTTCTAGTTTCATATGAATTGTGTTTTACAGTTGTTATAATTTTTAATTTAGATATTTATAAAATTCAAGTTGAATTATTTTCAGGTTGGAACAGCAAGAAATAGCGGAATGATTAATGGAGGGTGTTTTCAGGGACCCACCAACTGGGCATGGCAATTGCATGGTCAGAATCAAATCCCAACCACATTTTTGACTGCAGCATCATCAGGATTCCCAGCTCCGGCAGCCACAAACTCTTTGGATTACTACTACCAGCTAAGGCCGCCGCCATCCCCGCCACCAGCACCACCACCTACCCCATAATTTCCGGTCATTCTTTTGATATTTTGGATTGTTTCAGTTTCCACATACATACACATCACCAAATAAATATCTAGCTTCTTTCAATTTTGGATTGGTTGCTATGTGTTAGTTGTATGTTATGCAGTAAAAGTTGTACATAAGCTTTTATTTAAATAAAGAGGATGCGATCATCCGTTTTGCCACATTTTGCTTGTTTATTTATTTGGCCAATGGATAACTCGAAAGGTCAAGTTGAAGGTTAATTGGACAGGGATTTGCCACGACTACTCTTTTTAATCTATGAATGAATTATATTATTGGTCCCTTCATATAATTGAATTTTGCAATTTTACTCCCCATTTTTGTTTTATTTTTGTTTTTATTTGATGTTCTAGTAGGGTTTCTGGTCCATCTTTAAAATAAAATTACTATTTTTTTGCTAACTATGACTGTTATTTTTGTAATTTTTCTCCTAAAAATATATCATTTTATCTGGAATACTGATAAAAAAAAGATATAGAAAACCTCAAATAAGACCAAAATTGCATAAGAGGTTATTTTTGGACCAAAATTGAAAAACAAGCTATAGTCTAGATACCAAAAATATCTTCTTTTTTTTTTTTTTTTTTTTTTTTAAATTTCTAGCGTAAATGACAATGAATTATGTTCCATGTGAAGGTTTATTTTGGATCGTATGTTTAAAATGTATATTTAAGTGTTTATAAGTTAAAATTTAGTTGTTAACGGGGATAACATATAAAATGAAAAACAATTTTTATTTGATTTTTAATATTCACATGTAAAGATATAATATTTAATGTTAACCTGTATCTGGTTATTAATTTTCATGACACAAAGTGAGGGAATATTGTCAATGAAATCCGATGTTATCCACGCTGCGCTGATCTACACGTAGTTTACACACAGTTTAGAAAACATAAAAAGACAGTATTTAAAACACATGTTCAAACAATCAAACTTGTAGTTATCAAATAATTTTATATAATGACTATTATAGAATATAGATAATCTTACAAAGAGTGAACCCGTTTTTTGCAGACTATATAAAAGATGTATTTGTGTTAAAAAAAATTAATTAATCAAATTCTATTTGAGTAATTTACAGGTTTAAAAATATATTTTAGTAATAATAAAATAAAACTAAATATTATTGCTACTTTGGAATAATGACTAGATGAAAGTTTACAAAAAACAGAGACATTATTTTGGTTTAAAACAATCTAAAAATAAAATCCATGTATTTATTTGTAGGGAAAATGATCTAAAATGACAACCAACAACACAAAATTTACCCATGAAGTCACCGAAGTTTTAATTGCATCTAATTGACCAGCAAACATTTTTTTTGGTTCTATTATACCATTGATACCGGTGATAGTCAGTTACCAACCAACATAGAGTCTACGTCACTAGTTGTATCCACATAATCGATGGTATATTAGAACCGAAAAGAAAAGTTTGTTGATCAAATGGATACAATTATATAAGTTGGTAACTTAAAAAGCAAATAAAATGTTATTCGGTAGATATTTTAGAAGACCCAATTTATGTGAATAAAAAACGATTAACATCTTTTTAAATTGGATTTTAAGATATTTTATAAACAAAATGAGAAATAATGATATACTATCCATCAAATAATTTCATAACGGGGGACACCAAAGAAAAATCACCAAGTTAGACGGTAGACGTCGTAGTTGACAACCGGAACCCGATATAATTAAGTGACACACATTGAATATAGAGACTAATTTAAAAAAGAGTTTTCTCACAAGACATCGTAAATAATCGTTAAAAATCACTTGAAGCAACAAACTTTACCTCCAATAGATAAAATGTTTTTTAGCCTCCTTACTTTGTTTAACGAAATGCAATTTTAATATGGTCTCCTAACGTTTTTTGTTAATGCAATTTGAATTTTATTAATTTTTTATAGTTTTGTTTATTTTAAATATTTTATTTTAAAAAGATGTGGGATGGGATGGATATAAAATAAGTATTCCATATATGGGATGGAGGGCTAGCCTAATGGGCGTTCATAATGTTTCTGTGAACAGGGACAGGGCCCATTCTTCCTAGGGGCCTAAAAAATTTTATTCACTTCAAAGACGTCTCTTTAGGATGTTCATGACTTCACATATTCAGAAATTGGAAGCGGGAATTTGGTTTGAGTTTCTTAATGAACAATTGTCAATTGACGATACGCGTGAAATTAATGGCAATGATTCATATCCTTGGTGAGTGACTTGGTGGTAATAGTCTCAGTCTTAATGTCGCATACTCTCATTTGTATATAAGAGTCACAATCGCAATCCAGAATTCATAGTCGTGATCCAAAATTCAGAAACCTTTCTCTCGGCTCTTGTCTTCACTCTTCGTCCTTCAAAAATCATAATCATCAGCTCTTATCTTCAACTCTACTAATCTTCGTGAATCTTGATTAAAATTCAACTCGACAGTCTTTTAAAATTACTAAATTAGATATGTTTTTATTCTAACTTTCTATCTTTCTGCATCTGATTCAATGACTCTAAATTCTAAGTGACTAATTTCTAAATTATTTGTCTCTAATTCAGATTTTAACATTCAGAATCTCGCTTGGTTGCTCAAGACTCTAAAGCAAAGTTCATTTTATATTCAAAATTTAGCAATTAGCATGCCTCATGGAATTAAAAACCATGAAGCAAGTATATTTTTTGTGTAATTTTGTCTTGAAAGTGTAACGTCCCAAAAACCACGGTAATTTTTTTTTATTTTTATAAAAGACATTTTCATAAATTCCATAGAATAATCAAACATTATTTCCAAAACAAAACTCTAAAAATCAAAGTATCAATATCATCTCTCAAAACATAAATCAGCAGGAGGATGTGTACGATCACGCCTTCGCCTTGCCCCGATCATCTAAAGTACCTTAAAACATTTACAATTGTAAGCCAAATCTTAGTGAGTTCCCCCAAAATACCACACACAACAATACATACAATACATGCACACATGAGCCTACAACCCTACAGTCTGCCTGAACCGCCTCACAAGGCCTAAGGATGCTCTACCAAGCCTACTGTCTACTAGACCGCCTCGTAAGGCCTACAATAGCTAGACCGCTCCCGTGGGACTACAGTCTGACTAGACCGCCTAGCAAGGCCTACAGTACACTGGACCGCCCAGTTATCTTGGCCTACAACACAAAGTAGGATCGCCTCAACCCAACCAACCACAATATGTCGACATATACAAATAAACAAACAAACAGACAATAGCCATCAATACAGGTAATCATAATAGATCTACCAATCTAACAGATCACTACAACACCAACATCCTACACACAAGGATACATACTATAGTACAAAGTATAGTGAGAAAACTCACCTCGCAGTCTATCAGATAACAACACAGCTCTTGTAAATCCAAAAACTGGTACTACAGGTCACCTATACAACAATCAGGGACAAATCCTTAAATTGTATCTCAAAACCCTCAAATTGACCTAAAGTCAAACCTAGTAAAAAAGCCAACGGTCAAAGTCAAAATCAGCAGTCAAAAGTCTCACAGTTGGCCGCCATGTCGTGGTGGCCTTAAAAAAACAGTCGTGGAGACTACTTTTTCTTACGTCGTGAAGGCTAATCCTTCATGTCGTGGGAACTGTTTTGGTCTTTTTAATGCATTAGGTTCTTAACCACTAAGGTCACTCATCCATACTTTCTAGAAGGATTTCATACACCTAATGCATCCTAAAAATCGGTACTTTATGGACATGCATGTCCAATGCATGTCTATTCCAATCTAGGTCAAAAACATGAAAGAAATGAACTCAAACTTGTGTATGAGACTAAAAACACCATAGAACTCTAGATCGGGAGCATATAACCCCCAAGGGACCTCAAGGATGCATAAAGTTGCTAAATTTATAGAATCCACTCATCCAAACCAATAAGAACATGAAGAACAAGCCTCAAATCCTAGATCTAAAATGTTTGAACACAAAAGATAGAAACCTGAGGACTTACAAAGGTCCAGGAGGTGTGCGACAAGATGATGGGAAGGTTTGCTTGTTGAATAAATGCTCAAGAGAACTTTCTTCTTCTCCTTCAAGGTCACTAAACACACAAAGCTTTAAACATGACTCAATGGAGGCTAGGGTTTCTTTGAGGGTGAAGGGGAGGTGATAAAGGTTGAGGGTGTGCAAACCCTAGCCCTCACTTCTCTTAATTAGGGCTTAAAGCCCAAAAAATTAAGGTTTTGCATGCAGGAGGTTGTCACGTTGTAACCAATACATTCTCATGTCGTGACACTCAAATGAGATGTGTTTTCATGGGGCACCGCCACGTTGTGACACTCACATGCTCACGTCGTGGCCAGCAGAATTCATCATTGAGCTTGAAAAGCCAAAACAACAAAAGAAGTATACACCTGGAACTTAGTCTTAAAGAAAGTATATTACGAGATTAAATCAGAAACTACTTTGTTTTTTTTATTATTTTATAGTTTATAAGTTTTAGGGTCTATTTTTACTAAATTACATAGGGCTTCAAAAATCTTGGGACTGGTCCTAATGAGATGGAGGTGAAAGATACACCCTCAACAAAGAGATTATGTGTTATACTCTTATTTCACCTTTAATCCATTATCGGACACGTAATTCTCTTCCTCCATCTTTTATTCGGTCTTTCAAACCACATTATACCCCTCTTTCAGCAATGTAAACGTTCTAATGCATGGTATTAAAGTGAAAATAAAACACACAATGGATAAGAGGGGGAAGGAGATGAGAGAGAGGCAACGGGGTCACAACAACAAGGGGTGTGAAAAGCATGGGTCCGACCTAGGCATAATGTGCTTGTTGGCTATGTTAACACCTTGATCCCAACGAAAATATATAACACATAATCTAACAAAATTGCATGTAAGAGGAATCTTATACATATGAAACAACGTCATTATTTATAATTTTATTATTCTCCAAATAAATCGATTTAAATTCTTGAATAATATATTTCACATAAAAATGAACTTCTTTCGATGAATTTTTCTTTAATAATTATTTTAAAATATAATATTTAAAAGTTTATACTAATATTTATCACGAAAAAAATCGATTACAGCAATCAAAATTTGATGTGATAGAACTGGCTTTTTATTTTATTATAAAGTTATGTTATACATTAGGATTAGTTAT